ACTAACTGAACGTACTTTGGTAACTGTTCTGTGGGCAAGAAAGCATGTCAGTAGATCTAACTACCCAGGTAATTTCATTGTTTGGACTCAGATTAATGGCGCATATTTAAATAATGCAATGGGGATGTTGCCTGCCCGATGTACGATTTATTCTTTTTTTTGCCGTTCAAAGTGCCTGCAACTGTGCGTGAGACTGTTAAATTTCCGAAAAGCGACGAGGGACTTTGGGTGCTATATTTATGTTTATTTGTTACCTTCAGCGATACCCACCTTTAACTTTACTCATACCCTGTTTGTGATGTCGTCATTTAGCAGAAGCGTTTTAAAACGGACTTTGGTTCTGGACTGCGCAGATGTTGCTTGGCCAACATTGCTTCGGGTTTATTTTTTGCACACCACATGTCCCCATTTCCACCACAACTATGAAAGCGACATTATCTTTTTCCAAAACAACTTGCAAAATTTTAAATATATAACTTGGTTTTTCAATCACCTGCTTGTGAATAAGTGATCTTACCTAACGTAAACACTACATTCGTGAATCCATTTTTAAAGCCGAAATACGCCCCGCAACGAAGCAATGATCCTTCCAAATTTATAAAATTACATCGAGCGTTCGATGTGCGAAGTTGCTGACCTTTCCCGCGTCCAGTATTTATTGATTTGAACTACTTGCAGTACAGGGTCTTGCACACCTGTGGGATAGAATCCTACTGTATAAAAATACGACATCCAAGCAAAATGTTAAAAACACGTTCATAAGTGACTAATTACCCGGTAAGGGCTGCTACGTAAAAGCAACGCTGATATCAAAATTGTCGTCCTCATCTGGGAGATGTATTTTGGCTTTATTTAAAAATTAGCTTAAAGTAAAAGTTTCGTTTTTTCGGCCATGACAGCAGGTCAACTAGCATCTATGCAGGATGCAAAGTAAAATTGCAAACCATTTCATTTCCGAACATCTTTATGGGGTCATATAGGTAAATGAATTTAACTTTCGTTTTTTATATTTTAGTCGCAACTCGAGTCGAACACCTCCAAGCACTCCTCTACATCTGGTGCTTCAGTGCCACCTGCCAGGCAACACGAAGGCCGCCAAGGAGCAAACGGAGCCCAGTACAAATGGATGTGCCCTATATGCCGAATTGGTTTTCACGAGAAGGAGGACTATATTGGACACCTCTCCTCCGATGAACACGTTAGTTTTGTTTAATACTTTTGAAGGCTGCTTCAATTGACTTATGACCACGAAATGACACGTCAGGTTTGTGCAAGTGTTAGTGCGATACTCGGTTAGATTCCAGCTCTTCAAAGGAAACTACTCTTGAGGGGTCTGATGAAGAACAGTTTGTTAAAAGTATCCTCTCCGCGATTTATGATTGCGCTTGATTACTTATCTATGTAGGGGAATCAGTTCTGTGTGTGAAGAGGGGAATTGAGACGCAAATATGAGGCAATATTATATTGTACTTGCCTGATTACGAATAATCGATAAAATGCGTTAGCCAAACTTGACTTCTAGAACGCATATTATTTAAGACCGTTTTTTGGAGTGCAGTTTTTTTGCAGTTGTCCGAAAGGATGTGCATACGGGAACCAGGATTCTCGTGTGTCTGAAACATCAGGTATTATACCGCAATACAATTAATACTCACAATTAATAGAAATACGCCATGCAAACCTAGTTAAAAATTTCATTTTATATTTCATGACATCTTTCGCTGAGTGAACCTTGTTTGGTATTTGCTCTGTGGGCAATAAAGAATGTCAGTGGATCTAATCAACCGGATTATATTATTAATCAGGCTCAGATTAATACTGGACCTTAAGCCTTTTGTCATCACTTTTACTTTTATTTGTTTTGGTTTGCAGTTTATTGGTTTGTTACTTAGTTCATTTTTAGTCATAGTTCTATGTTGCTTTATTATTAATTCAATGTATTTTTTACGCCATGTACGGTTGCTTTTCGTATTATTATACGTCAATATCACTCCAATCGCATGTGGATATATTGTGAGTTTTTGAAAAGAGGAAAATCCTATCTTTAATGGTTTTAAATTTTGCCCGTCTATTTGCAAGTAAGTGTGCGCAGTTTTGTATTCCTTATTGGTTGTGTTTGTCATTTTAATTATCGCCTGTATATGTTTTGTTATTTCATTAAGTATTTACTATACAGGGTGTTTTTAAAAATGTATA